AACCCCAACCTCTCAACCTCCAAACAAAGCCTTTCTTTCATATCATGATCCTTCACAATATGAATTTTAAAGGGTATGTTTGCATCAACAAGAGGCTGTGCTATATCATTAGCTTTGGTGCTTGTAAACAGATTAAAATCCTCTTCAATCTTTTGCTGATTCTCTTCATTTTGATCATCTAGATTGTAATTCTCTTTAATTGGCAACGACCCCCAATCAGCACCATAAAGAACATTTGTGGGGCTAACATGGACTAAGATCACTGCATCACCAGCACGTAAGTAGTTTTGAACAGCCCATTTGACAGCAAAAGCACTTTCATCACTGAGATCAACAGCAATTCCTATTCTTCTTTGAGCACAAGTTGTTGGAGTGGTGACATGTAAACGTGGGGAAGGGGGTTGGACTTGAACCACCACGGCTGATTCTGTTGGGGGGTTTTTCTTAGGTGATGGTGAAGATGCCATAGCTGCTGCTAAACAGGAAAAACAAGACACAAAAGCGAATAAACAAGTGATCTGGCTTCTGGGCTTCTGTTTTTGTGGAGTTTGAGAAGGGAATATTTGGTAGAAGAAGCAAACTGTGATGGAAAGATTGGTACTTTGGCTCTTTTTGGAGATGGAGAGAAGAAAGAGGAAAGGAAGGTTCTTTGATTTTGGATGAGAAGGACAAGAGAGGTGTTGGGATGACAAGGGCAGAGGTGGCCCTACTTTGGTTTGGAAGAAGTAAAGAGGTTTTGATCCACAGTATACTCTTTGGATGCTTCTGGATTGGATTTGGGTAAATATGTATTTTTGACCTTATAGATTTATCAATGTTTCACTAATGTCCTCATGGTTTAATTTCTCTCAATGTTATCCTTATAGTCTTTAAAATGGGTCTTAATTTTTCTCTTTATTTTTTTCTTTTTGGATTTGTATGTCCAATTTTATTAAATATTTTACAAGATGAGACTAGATATTGAGATCTCATTCTTTTTACTAACACATTGTACATTTACTATTAATTAATTGCCCTTTGATAGTAAATAATTATCAAAAAGGTGGTTTTTTTCATAATTGCATTTTTTTTCTTTTTTCTCACTCTCAACTCTCCAATAATGTTATAATATACATAGAAAAAATAAAAAATAAATTCAGAAAAATAGGCTATTTAATGGTTAGGATAATATTGTAAATAATGTTTTTGGTTAAAATTTGAAGAAATCACTTTTGGTTTGAGATAATTTCACTCCAAAAAAATGTAAGCATTCAATTGATATTTACTCTTGTCATCAAATATTGGAAAGTTACAATCTATTTATAATAGATAAAATAAAAATAGTGTGAGTTTTGTATTTAATTTGTGGATAGTATTTATTTTTATGATTCAGTTATTTTTTAAAAAAAATTAAAATTAAAATGTTAATAAATCAGGTTATGTGGGAATGCACATATACTCGTACACCTATAAAAATCATATTTTTTTTTTATTAAATTCAATCAATTCAGATAAAATAAATAATTTTTTTCATCCTCTTATTATTCACTAGTATCAAAACTATATAATTTTTTTTTAATAAAATAGAACTATTATCATGTATAAAATTACAACATTAAAAACTAAAGCATAAAATAATAATTCGTCATCCATGAATTATAATATTATTATAAAATAATTTTTTAAATAAAACTAGGAAATGCAATCTCTAAACATGGATATGAACAAAAATAATAAATAATAAATAATAAAAATATTAAATGTGTGATGGGATGAGAGAAGCTCTCACCCAACTAATAAAACCAAATCAATTTTATCCATAATTGGCTTTAAATAAAAGTGTTTATTTAGTTTCCTAAACTAAATTCTGTTTAAATCCTCATAAGACGTCGTCGTTTAGAAAACTAGACCAAATGCACTGCCGTTCGTTCATTTCAAGCAACGGTCGAATATTGTTTGAATTCTCTGAATTTCTTTTCCACTATATAAATCCACTCTCTCTCTCTCTCTCTCTCTCTCTCTCTCTCTCTCTCTCTCTCTCTCTCTCTCTCTCTCTCTCTCTCTCTCTCTCTCTCTCTCTCTCTCACTCTCTCTAAATCTCAACATTTTTCAATTTCTTCGAACGAAAAACTCTCTCTTCCTCTCTCTCTCTCTTTCTCAAGAAACAACAATTTTGTTTTAGCCATTCAAATTCTCTGTATAAAGTTTGATTTTTCGTGTGATCATAGCAAATTTCAAATTAGCTCAAAGGGAGAGTGTTCCTGACACTCAAATTCTCTGTAAGTACCCATCTCTCCCTCTCTCGCTATAATTATACAATCTGTTCTCAAAAGTGTCTTTAACATCTTGTGATTTTATGATTTGTTTTGATCATATTATAGTGATTTGCATGTAAACTTTGTCTCGTTTCCCTCTTTGATTTCTTGAATTTATTAAGGGAGTGGAGAATTTTCAAAGTTGATGTTTTTTCGATCTTTAGTGATCATAGCGAATTTCAGATTCGCTCATAGGGAGAGTGTTCATGACACTCAAATTCTCGGTATGTACCCATCTCTCCCTCTCTCGGTATAATTATACAATCTGTTCTCAAAGGGAGAGTGTCTTTAACATCTTGTGATTTTATGATTTGTTTTGATCATATTTTAATGATTTGCATGTATACTTTGTCTCGTTTCACTGTTTGATTTCTTGAACTTATTAAGGAAGTAGAGAATTTTCAAATTTCATGTTTTTTCGATCTTTTACATTTCAAGGTACTTATATTCTTTCAATTAATTCTTACTTTAAAAGAATTAGGATTATAAGAACAAGAAACCCTTTAATTGGTTAGATTTTAATTTCACTTTCTATTTAATGGGGTTTAAATTTTTTAAATCGGTTTCTCATTATCTTGCAAAAAAAATAGTTGTTTTTTTCTATAATTTGAATTTCTGTTTATGTTTGTGTTGTTAACCTCTGTGTCCATAGCAAATGAATTCTCTAAGTATCGTATGTTTGAGCTTTCTGCTGCCAGATTGTGTTACCTATTTGCTATCAACGAAATTGTTTGCTTGCTAATTATGTCAATTGGGAGTTGGAAATTGAAATGCTAAAAAAATTAACCTTTCCCAATTTTATTTATTTTAAGTTGAAAATGAGAACGTGCATTGCGTATCTATCCCTAGAAAATGATCTTAAAAAATGGAACTCAATGAAACATGATTTCTTTCTTTTTCATGGTTTGTTCACGATTATTTGAGGTGGTTTTTGGTGTAATGAATAATTTATGTTCACTTTACATTTAAAATGGTGGTGTGGCTTATATCTATATATAAACTTTTGTTTTTGGAAATTATGAATCCTGGATTTGCTCATCTTGTAGTATCTACTCTCAGTTTGCTATATGGAAAACACAGTTTTTTGCTTTTCAGTTCATAAATTTTAGTCTAGTCGTGTCTGCTTTAGAGTAAATTGTGGAACTCTGATAATATGAAGAGGCAGTTCTACAGGATAGTAGAGGCAACAGTTGCTCTTGCAAATTATGACTCGTTGATCGGTACATGTTAATTCTTCAACAATCCACTTCTAGGTTGCTTGTTGGGTATATCATATTTCTTATGGTATTCAATCCATAAAGTATATCACCGATGAGTCAGTTTCACCACATTTTGATCCAGTCTCCTGGTTAAGGTGCTAATAGACAGTTCAAAAGTTTCACCAAGGAAAGCAGAACTAATTAAACTGCCAAATTGATGATGTTACATGCCAAACAAACGTTTTTTTATCACTATTCAGATAGCATTTCAGTTGTATCAGAAACCTTTCCTTGTATGGTTCTATCACTTCAGATAGAAAAGTAGATCAAAAAAAGTTAATTTGCAGTGTTGGCATGGACTATTCCTTGTTCTTCTACTTTCTGTAATAGTATAGAATTGTTATGTCTTTTATAGCTATACTAGCAGTTTCTAATTTTTTCGATAACTTGACTCAGGATTTTTTCCCTTTTAGTGAATTATACTTGAATTACTTTGTTATATTTTTCTTGCCGAGTGTACAAAGTGCTTTTGGATGTCAACATTTTCGTTGTTGGCAAAGATGAGTATGGTGAACTTGCTGTAAGTTAAATCATTATCTTTTTTTTCTATGCTTGTTTGTGCAAGGACGCTAGTTTCTGCTTGATACTGAGATCATCTTGAGGTTAAATACTATCCAGCTTGTGTGAGGCTCTTGGCTACATTTTTTAGTTTAAGACTCGCTATCTAAGTGTCAGTTTCTTCTTTGTTGACATAAAATTTCTGACATGCTCTGATGTCTGCTTAGCCTGTCATTAATCACAGCCTACCATTACCTTTCAACAGTATTAGTATTTTTTTGGCGAATCAATAAAATGAAACGATTGGTTCCATTCTAGCACTGAAAAATAATAAAAATGATATAAATGAAACCTTGGTTTCCCCTGTTGACGGTGGGATCTCTTTTGGCTGTGGATGTCATCTGTGATGTAACTGGTTGATGAAATAGCAATTGATAGGCTTTCTTTGTTGCGATGCTTTTGTTTCAATTAGAAGCGCAAATGCCATATTGCCATGTCATCTTGCTGCCCAATATAAGTAAAGTTTTTATTGTATGTAAGGGGTTACAGATGTTTTTCCTTCTTGCAACAAGCAACTGATTTAGGGATTGCTGGAAATTTGTAATATCACATTCTTGATATTTAGTAACTAATGCTACTAGTGGAAGTTTCTCGAGGCCAAATCTCTAGTGAGATTTGGGTAAGAAAATGATTTGACATGGTAAGAAGACAAATCCGTATATGCTTGTTACTGAAGCACTTGTACCCGGGTATTATTCATCCTATGTTCTTATTGACATTATTACAAACCAGTAATGCCAAATGAGAACTATCAAAGCTATTGATCTCCATTTTGAAACTACTCTTTGGCGTTTCTTTTAATTTAGTGACTTGTTTTCTCTTTAATGCTCGCAAGAGTAATACTTGCAGAGGCTGCAGAGCTGTCTACATATTGGGACAGTATCTGTGCACCAAGTACCCCTTCCTCTGAAGGTTCCATGGACCGTTTGGGTGTTGTCGAAAGAGAATCTGTTCAACCTATTTAAAATATACATTTGAATTGCTTGTTTCCTAGATTTGTGGTCCGTACGAGTCCTTAACTTTTCCATCTACATATTGCATGTAATTAGGTCGTTAGTTTTTGAAACATGAAGGCTCCCTGCTTGCATTATTATATAGTACTGCGCCTAAACTCTAGGAAGCTTTGAAGGCCTTATGATATTCTGCCTTTCATAGAGAAGAACTGTGTGGTTATCTTAGCAGTGGAAGGACCCATTGGTTGGCAAGGAAAGGATCCATCAACACATTTTAGGTAGACCATTGGTTCCTTTGTGAATTCCATGATGTTTCTCCCATCATTTCCCAACATTTTAGGTAGACCATTGGTTCCTTTGTAAAAAGACCATTGTCTTTTTATGCTTATGATACTTCGATTTATTTTTTTTCCCAGCGGTGGTGGTTTTATATCATTGGAGAATTTGTTGTTCTTCGAGAGGAATTTAGAAGTACCTTGTTTTGCAACCGTAGTCAATGCTCTGTCGCTTTCTCAGTAGTCTTTCTAGATGTTTTTTTTTTAGCTGACATGGAACCTTGGACCATTATATTACATTTTGATTTTATTGAACTCAACTGTATTTAAGATTAGCTTATTGAGGTTGCTCTATCTCAAGGAATTTGTGGTTATACTTGCAGAAATTCAACGGTCTGAGTCATGAATATGTATATTTCATGATGAACCTTTCCACTCCAACAATCTGTAAGTTCTTCATGGGGGTGTAAGAGAAAACTTTCCCCGTAAGAATCTCTTGGTCTTCATTCATAGTGTCAGTTAGTGGTTCAAAACTTATTTATCTTTTGTCTACATGTATATTGATAGGTCTTTGGCAATGAGACAAAATTCAGAACCTTGGAAAAGGTTAATGGGCAGAAGGTAATTGTTTCTTGGTGTTTTATTCCACACATTTTGCTTTCATCTTGGAATTTATCTCATTGTATTATCTTCACCTAATCACGCTAATAATGCTGATGAAGTTTCTGTAAAGATTCTAATTTGACCAAGGCATTGGAGACATATATGTGGATTATGTTATTACACAAAGTGCAAATGTTGCTGTAGGCTCTGAATATGGGTGGCAAAACTTATACCTGTAAAGAAGCTAGTTGATGCTAATGACCAAGGTATGCTCTCTTGTTCGATCAAATCATTTCAATGTTCAAACTGACAAAATTATTTTGAAATGCTAACTTCAGTATGAATTATTTCATAATGTTTGAAGTAGTTAGTTGATGCTTATATTGAGTTGTGCCCTTCCATCCCAAATAGAAATCTAAGTCCTTTCTTCTTTGGTGATTTGAAATGTACAAAAAGATAGCATTTTCTTAGCTCTTATACATTCAGTGTTGTAGTCTGCTGTTAGCTTCAATATTCTTGCAGTCTTTAGGTTATGACAATTGCATTGAATGAGCTAATGTCCAGCCCATAAGCCTCTTTGGTTTCAAATAGTTGGTCTTGGTTGACTTGATTTCCATGTATTCAGAATCTGTTCGAAATTTGTTCTTTGTAAAAAATGTAGTAGCAGGATCTTTGTTTAGCTTTTAGTTTCTGCAACTCCACCGTTTATCTTTGAACTAAAATGGTTTCTTAGATTTCCCATGCACTCACCGTTTGCGATGGAGTTATGGAGACTAATTGTGGAACCTGAATACTGCTGCTACTGTTAGCTATAGAGAGTGTAACAAATGGGTTGTAT